ATGCATCACAGAACACAGAGGATTCAAAGGTTTTCCCTCAAACTATTTCCACTGGCATGTGTCCTAATGGAGTTCTCAGAAATGGGAAAAAAAAATCCATTCCAACAGTCTAATCAATCTCTAGAGGATGGTTTATAAGAAGAAATTCAAGAAATATCAGCTCTCTTCTCATTCCAAAGAAATATTCAGAGCAAAGAACATAAACACACTAGCCTGGTTATATATGATAAAAGTGACCAGTATAGTACTGACCCTTGCCAAAGAATCCTGTTATGGATAATTCCATACAAAGGGCCCAAAGTGCAAGATACTTTTCACAAAATGTGGGTGACATGGTCCTTAACCGAAGAGATATTACCATTATTATTGTTAGAAGTAAAGTTCACATTTATGCTTACACAGAATCATTTTTCAAGGAGCACAAAAAGCTCTGGAAATACCATTTACTTAAGTCATTATGATATTCCTACGAAGCTGTGGCATGTTACCAATAGTCTGGGTCCCTAACTAAATTATACCTAAGCCCCTTCCGACGTACCCCTGCCAGAAACCACCGAGCTCATCCCTGCCCGGGGAGTTCGCTTCTGTTGCTGCACGTGAGCTAGAGATGCAGTTCATCAACAGCTGCACGGCTACCAGCCGGAAGAGGCAAAATCCAGCACAACTGCTCAAGTCCCTGTGGTGAAGAACCTTGGGATGCTGGGTCTTCTTCCTTATAATCCACTAAACTGGCCCCAACTGCATCTTCTCTCGCCTCTTCTAGGGTAAACAGTAACTTGAACTATGTTAAGGGGTCAGTTTAAAAGACAGAAACCAACTGGATCCAGGAGATAGGATGGTGAAGAAATAAAAATGGGTTTTAACTTTCTTTTAGGCAAATGGGTACATGGGACAAATAGAAGGTTGGGGAGTAGGTGTGGGTAATTAGTTGGGTTTGGGACGCACTGTGTTAGGATACTGCAGGCAATCCAAATGGAATAAGTAGGTAGAGAGCTGAATATAAGATATTAAGCCTGAGTGAATGATATGACTGGAAATAAAGGTTTAAGGAGCAAGACATTCACAGGCAAGGACTGATATGCTTTATAGTTTGAATGACTGTGAAAAATTAGCACAAACTTTTGCTTCTCTAAAGAACAATATTTTCAAAGGTCTATGCCCTGGACCAACAGCACCTGCCTGACCTGGGAGCTGATCAGGTGTGGAACCTCCATCCACCATACATCTACTGAATCAGAACCTGCGTGTTCACACACCAGAGGACTCAGGGGCCTATTAGTTTGAGACCCACTGGTGTAGTGTTCCCCAAACTCTGGTTCTTAAAATGTTCACCCATTTTCAGCAAATGAGAAAAAGAAAAATACAAACATTAAACATAATAAATGCATTCAATTTAGAGAAATGTCCTTTATCCCGATGTTATATGCTTCCTTTGTGGACCTTGTTTACATGCCCTGTCTTTTATGAAATTAAGGTAATGGCTATCTTGGTGATTTCTCTAATAGTAAGTTATTTTATACTTTCGTGGTACCACATCACTTGAGCGATGTTATTTCCTTTGCCTAAAATATCCTCCTTACTCTACCTCACCTATTAAGCCCCAATTTCTCCATGAGTCATACTCTAACTACCAAAGTCTATGTATTAGTTTCTTAGGGCCACCATAACAAAATACCACAGACTGGATGGCTTAAAACTAGAGAAATTTATTGTCTAACAGTTCTAGAGGCTGGAAGTCTGAAATCAGGTGTCTGGAGGGCCATGCTTTCCCAGAAGGCTCTAGGAAAGGATCCTTCCTTGCCTCTTCCTAGCTTCTGGTGATGGCCAGCCATCCTTGGTGATCCTTGTCTTGTAGATGTTATCACTCTGATCTCAGCCTGCATCTTTGTATCCCATTCTCTCTGCATATGTCTATGCCCAAATTTCTCTCATCTTACAAGAATACCGGTCATTGGATTAGGACCTACCCTAATCCAACAGGACCTCACCTTAACCTGATTATTTTATGCCTATTTCCAAATAAGGCCACATTCACAGGTACCTGGGGTTAGGACCCGAACATATCTTTTGGGGGATACAATTCAACCCACAACAGTCGATAGTGATATATTTTTAAAAGAAAATCTCTTGATAATTCTCCAAATTATGTGGTAAATACTATAATACTGTGCTTTCAAAATAAAACACAAAATAAAAAAATTAAGACTATTTTGTAATAAAAATCAGCACAAGACTCATCATTTGTGTTCCTGTTTTACAAACTGTGTTCCCTGTAGAAAGCATAAACTCCAAAGTGCAGAGATTTATCTTAGATTTTTCCCTGGTGGTAGACTGCTTTAGTCCTTATTTTTTTTTTTATTTTTCCTAGCACTTTTGGCACCACTTATATTTTTTAGCTCCTTTCTGACCATCATTGCTTGGTACTACCCACTCAATTTGTTAACTCTGTCTCACAAGTCTTGATGTCAGGAATTACTTAGGGCCAATTTCTGACCTCCGAAGTCTTAGATGGCTGGAGTTCCTCAGGAGGTTCTAAGCCATACTAATTGGCCAAGGCTTTAAGAATGCTGTGAATCTGACAATATTTGGGAAACACTGTTTCGTTCAGAGATATTCAGATCCAGCGTTTCAATCTGAAACCTATCTACGATTTCAATTTTGTATTACAATATTATATACAGTATTCAATATCATATACAGTATTCAATATTATATACAGTATTCAATATTATACATAGTATGTGATTATACAGTTTCAAGGCAGCAAAATGTTGACTACTACTCAGTCTATGGGAGGTGAAATATTGCCTTAATATGCTAAAAAACAGGTAGATATAGCTCATTAATGGTACTCTGTAAGCACTGGCTCTTTTTCATCCTATCCCTGTCAAGCTACAGAGCCTCCTTTTCTGGAAGAGAAAATGACCATCCAGCACAAAGGAATTTAAAGGTTAGGCACACATTCCTTTGTCAGCTATCTAAGAGGCAAATGTTTTACTTTTGGGGGGAACAGTGCTGTGCAAATATGGTCAATGATAAACAAAGGTGACAGCTTAGGACTTTTGGTTGATTCTTATTTTAGGTTCGCAATTTCAACTGCCATATTTGCTGTTTCTAAAACTAATTTTCTATTCCATTAGTTTCCTCTAATTACCTCTATTAGAGGAAAAGATGAAATTGCAAGTAAAAAAGTAAAAACATTTGGGAGGTATCATGACATAAGAATACTGTTGGCTAAAGCCTTTTGATCATTATTGAATCAGTTAATCTGTGGTGCTCAAAAGTTCAATTAACTATGTCTAAAGTGAAGTAGAGATATGTGCTATTTTGTCAAGGTTATTTCATATAAGACAAATGAAAAAGCTTTATCTCCCAAACTCTTCCAGTCCTTTCTTACTAATTCATAATCCCCACTTGGTTTTCTTATTTAGACTTTCCACCCCTCCCTAATGCTCTTTATCCAGGTTAAAGAAAAAAAAAGTGTGGGGTAAGGAGCTTGAAAATAAAGTACAGCCAAAAATTGCTAGAAAATGTATTTTCTTTACAAAATCTGACTGTGGTTCTCTATAGGGAGAACCAGATCACATGGATGCACAGGACCATGTGCAGCCCTGACAACACAAAAAAACGCTATCGACTTCCTGGAGGATTTCCTAAGCCTTCTAGGAATAGATGTAAGGCCCCAAGCGGCACCAAGAACAGGGCAAGCGCAAGTCACAGGAGGGGCTGAAGGTGAAGCCAATGCACTGTGACCTCACCCCTCTTAGAAGAAAGGTGGAAACCTTCCAAAGGCCCTCTCTGCCTCCCCCTCACCCTTGTCCCACTGTTTAGGCTCCCATTTCGGAGCTCCATTTCTCTCCGACGCTGTCTGGCCCTGGGCATCCGCTGTTCCTCCATGCTGACTGGTTACTACCTCCTCGGCTCCCCAGTCTGGTCAGGTTTCCTTCTAATATCCTTTCCTAGAGCACACTCCTTTAGAACTCCTGCCCGGAGTTTTAAGCTACTCATTCGTTAGTGTCGTGACGGCATTAACTCTGTATCCCCCACTAGACTGCATGCTCCGAGACCAGAAACACGCCTGTTGTGTTGCCTGCAGTGTGGACAGCGCCTCCTAGTACCCTTCCGGCTCCATCATGCCATTCCACGCCTATTTGTTGACCGAACAGCAAGCAGGCCAGCACAAGTGATCTGAGTTCAGGTACATACTTTTGAACTTGAACCTCTCCCTGGGATTGTAAAACTCCCAAAGTCTTGATCTGAGAATGCACACATCTGAACAAGTGATTAGAGACTGGTAAACATCTCCTCAAGCCTGATGCAAAGGAGACGTGTAAGATATTATTTATTTTTACCACGCAGGGCTAAAACAAAACAAAACAAAAATACAGTAAGTGAATTGGGAAGGCTTTCGATTACTCAAAATTTATTTGTGGAGACCCCTCCAGGGGTGGCTGTTTTAGGGGAAGCAAAGATTAAATAGATAGGGCTCTGCTTCCAGGGTGTTTATGGTTTTAAAAAGGCACATTTAGTCCCCAAAAGGACTAAAAGCCCGAGAGACTGAGAAACAGAGAAATAAATGAGGCGAGAGGTCTCCGAAGGAAGGCATGGATTAGTCTATCGATTACTTCTCATTGCAATCCCAGGGCGAAGAAAGGAATTCCAAACCAGGAAAGGTCAAGCTGGAATATTCGGGGAACACACTGAAATGCAGGCGTCGCCCTAAGTCCTTCACATCCCTCGCTGGGGACAACATCGCAGAGAAAAGTCTTAAACTGGCTTCCCAAACCCTGAGCTATTGAAATTGGACTAAGAAAGGGAAAATCCCAAGGATGCGAGCGCGGAGGAAACTTGAAAAAGCAGGTCACGTAAATACTACACACAGCCCGGCCCCCGCGGCCCCCGCGCCCCCCCGACCCCCCGGCCCCCCGCGGCCCCCGCGCCCCCCCGGCCCCCGCGGCCCCCGCACGCCGCCGGGCGCCTGGCCCCGGCCGGCCTCGTACCATAGGTTTCGGACATGGCCGTCTGCGACATCTTGGGAGCGGCACCGCCTCTCGCCCGGTCACCGGCTGCAGTTCGGGCCGGGCCGGCGGGAGGGGAGGGTCGGGGTCGTCCTCCGCGTCTCGGTGGGAGCGGCGTGGGGCAGGGGACCGGAGGAGGGAGGGGCCGCGGTGCCTACGGCAACCGCCGGCCACCCCGCGGCTGCGGCCCTGCCGGACTGCCGGCTCCGCGCAGGCGCACGGCCTCCACCCCCAGCCGGGCCCGGACGAGGACGGGGAGGAGGAGGAGGAGGAGGAGGAGGAAAGGGGGCGCGAGGCCCGGCCCCCGCCATGGTCGCGCGTGCGCAGGCAGCCCGCGGCGGGTGCTAGGCGCAGGGAGGCCGGGCCGGGGGCTGGGGGCGCCGGGCGCGGGGAGGCGAGGGAGGGACCTGGCGCACGGGGAGGGCGGGGCGCGGACGGAGGGGTGCGGCTGGCTAAGGTCGGGTTGCAGGGGTGGGGAGGGGCCTGCCTTCCGTAGGCTTGGGGTGACGGAGCGTTGGGGACAGCGGGGTCTAGCTCTTGGATAGAGGTGGTCCTGCCCGATTGGCCCTCCTCAGTAAAGACTTCGTCGTCGTCCTGAGCAGCTCTCAAGCAGGAAAAGACTGCCTTCCATAAAGACTACGTTTACGATCAATCTGGGAACGTGGTTAATGTGTAACTAGGAGGCAGTAGCCCCAGGTGTCCAGCTAGACATCAGCCCTGTGGGCGAGGAGGCTGGCTTACCCGCGGTGAAACAGCTTTCACTCAAACCTTCCAGGCCCTCTCCCGTAGGGCTAGGGCTGGTGTCTGGAGAAAACTATCAGAAGCTTAAGGTGCGCTGGTGCTGGAGAATCCCCCAGAAGACCGTAGACATTGGCCCCTCTGCAGCCCGCCGTAGGGGAATCTAGCTTATGGGCAGGAAGCATCTCCTGATCCTCAACTACGGTTAGGAGTTGTTGGCTGGGTATTTTGATTTAAGGCACAAAACTGAATTCAGAAGCCCCTTCTGCTGGAAATGCAGAGATAAACATTTAGTAGGAAGAGAATTTTGGTTGGGAGTTTGCTCCCCCTGAGCAAGATCAGGGCCACATCGTATCTCGTAAGACCCAACTTTATTCAAAAGATACAGTAGAATACTAAACATATGCCTTGGCTAAGCTCCTAAGTAACTTGGACTGTGGGGAAATGCTAGTAAATACATTTTTTTTTCTAGTCCATTTGGCTCCATCCTCCACATAAATTGGCATCAGATTTCACTGAGGCCTTCCCCCCTTCCCCAGCGGCCATTTGGCTTTACATTTTATTCTTTCTGATCCTAATAGCAAATAAATATATCCTTGCTTCTAAATGACAGAGAAGGCCCCATGCTGAAATATTGTGAGAACTATAATTTCCTGGAATTATTTTGTATATGCTTCTTGTTCAATGGCTGAGATACTTTGTTGCTTTCTTATTTGGTTTTCTGCGTGTTAGTTTTAATTTACACTACTGAGTATAGCAGGCTAATCTGATTCAAACGATTTCAGAAGAAAGACAGGGATCTCATTCTTTGGATCTAAGTTTTCTTCCTGCCAGAAGCTTCTGTGGGTAAGAAAGGAGTCACTGCATTACAGTGATTGCTGGGGTTATTGACTGAAACTGGACCTCAAGGTCTCTGAAACCTGGACAGAGTGATAGAAATAAAAATTAAGCTGCTATTTCAAAGCTGAGAACAGTTTTCTATTCTGAGGACCTTTGGGGAAAACTCTTTGTTTTGGAAAAACTACCCAAAGAAATCATTTAGTTTGCAAATAAAAAGCCAGATATCACAACTGGAAAAGGAAATACTTGAGCTGAGATTTGGAGGAGCTAAGTTTTTTGAATAATAATGTGAAAGGTCCTTTGCCTCCTAGTTACTTTGGATCTTTGAGAGAAAATAAATTTATCCTAAAAACTCTCAGAGACCACTCTGATTCTGAGGTGCTGTTGATTGTGTGAAAGGAAAACTTATTGCAAAATTAGTGTTTTCTTCAGTTATTGACTCCCTTCTCTTTAGGGGAGGTGTGTGATAGAGTAAAAGTAGGTTTCCATAAGCCTAAGCACATTGGAGATTTGTCTACAGGAAATGAAGGGAGAAGGATTTCTTCCAAAATAGATCCACTCAACCTACCCACTCCTCCTTAGGTTGGTGGGTCCTGCAAGTTGCTGATACTTTTCCTTTTGTCACATTTAGTGACAAATTAGGAACCTCAGGGGGCTGCCAGCCTCACAAGGGTTCCTGTTCCCCAGGACCGGCAGAGGACCACATGGGGTGGGACACAGAGGGACACAGATGGACAATGACTGAGGGGCCTTTTAGACTCCTAGGCATAGGGTTGGACCCAGAACAGTTGGTCCTCGGAATGAGAATCCAGCACAAACTTGATGTTCCAGAAAGCAGTGGCATTGGGAATGAAAGAACGTGGCATCCTCAGCTGAACTAGACTTGGTGGAGAGCACTCGTCACGGTCTATGAGGCATGGTGACTTTACTAGGTGGCTAGAGTTGAAGAACATTAAGCCTACTGTGTCTGAGTCCTCGAGGACTCAGAAATATCTGGGTGTTACTTAATGAAGGAGCCAAGTTCTTCCCAGGTAGGTAGAGGCTTGAAAAGGTGACGTCAGTTAAACACCCAAGCTGGTGACACCTGTGACATGTAACTCTTCAGTTGGAAGAGACCTCAGAGGCCACTGGACCAGTTTGCTTTCCAGGGTCATCCAAAATTACCACCTCTGTAATTGGACACATCCGTTATTAGGGAATATTTGGTCAGGAGGGGCTAAATTAGCTGCAGTAACAAAGATCTCCCAACATGCTCATGACTAACACAAGAAGTTCATCTCTCACTCAGACCACCTGCCCCACTCATGCTGGCTCCATATGAGCACTCATAGACCCAGGCTGACCCAAATCTCATGGAAACACACACTCCCACCATCACTTGGGCAGGAGAAGAAACCAACACTAATGGTGCATCAGCTCAGGATGATCCCATCAAGGGTGGGTAGAATCACTTCTGTTTATATTTTATGGGCCAAAGCAAGTCACGTGCCCACACCTGATTTCAAAGAGAACAGAGAGTGCAATATTGTTATGTCCCAGAAGGAAAAGAGAAGAGGTTGTATTTGGAAAGATGTGATGACTACCATAGAACTTTGTACCTGTCCAGACAGCTTATTCTGCTTTGATTTTAAACGGCTTCATTGAAGTGTAATTGACATAGTTGCACATATTTGAAGTATACACATGATAATTTTTGGTACAGGTGTATACCTCTGCTTGCTGCTACTGGGATGGCATTACTTTTGGCCTTTTTAGTGGACAGAGACATTTTCTATGATTCCATTTTATCTTCTTTGTTGCTGGTTAGGAATAACTTCTTGTAAGGTTATTTTAGTGGTTGTTTTAGGGTTTGTGGTATAGGTTTTTAACTTGTCACATGGTCCACCTGTATGTGCCATGCCATTTTATGTAGAGTATAAGAACCTCACAACACTTTACCTCCATCCTCCCCATTAACCATGCTGTGGAAGTCCTACTTCTACATGTGTGGTACACCTCACATACTCTGTTGTTATTTTTGTTTTAAACTGCCAATTCTCTTTATAAAATTGTGGTAAAATATGCATAACATGAAATTTACCATCTCAACCATCTTTGTGTGTGCATTTCAGTGACATTGAATACATTCACTTTGTTGTGTAACCACCCATCTTCAGAACTCTTTTCATCTTGCAACCTGCAACTGTCTCCATTAAACACCAAATCCCTGCTCCCCCCTCATCCAAGCTCTTGCAACCACCATCCTATTTTCTTTGCCTGTGATTTTGAAACTCTAGGCACCTCAATATGAATGGACTCATACAGTATCTGTTCTTTTTTGTGACTGACTAATTTCCCTTAGCATAATGTTCTTAGGGTTCATCTGTGTTGTAGCCTCTCAGAATTCCTTCCTTTTCAAGGATGAATAATATTCCCCTACATATATACCATATTCCCATATATATATGTATATATATACCATATTTTCCAGAAAATTCTCTTCTAAATAGATTTAAACAAGTATTTTATATTTACCCACATACTTACCATGTCTAGGATGCCTTCGTCCCTTACGTAGATTCAAATTCCATGTGGTATCATTTCCTTTTTGCTGGAAGTAATTCCCTTAGCAGATCTCGAAGGGCAGGTCTGCTGGGGATGAATTCTTTCTGCTCTCATATATCTAAAAAAGACTTTATTTCATTTCTGTTTCTTTTTTAAAGATTTTATTTATTTATTCGTGAGAGACAGAGACAGAGACAGACAGAGAGAGAGAAGCAGAGGGAGAAGCAGGCTCCCAAGGAGCAGGGAGCCCAATGCGGGACTCAATCGCAGGACCCCGGGGTCATGACCTGAGCCGAAAGCAGGCGCTTAACCATCTGAGCCACCCAGGCGCTTCATTTCTGTTTTTAAATGGTATTTTTCTTAAGTTTAGATTTCTAAGTGAGCAGTTTTTTTCTTCTTCTAACACAATGTTTTCTGGCTTATATGTTCTGATGGCCATTCTTCATTCCTTTGTACACAGTGTTTTGTTGTTTTTTTTAAATATCTGCCTTTTTAAAAGATTTTATCTTTATTACCGGTTTATGGATTTCAGCTATGATGTGCCTTGGTGTGGTTTTCTTCATGGTTCTTGTCCTCATGTTCCATTAAACTTCTTTGGTCTGTGAATTTATAGTGTTTATCAGATTTGGATTGTTTTTTCAGCCATTATTTCTTCAAATATATTTTCTGCCCCTCCCTCTATTCTCCTCTGGTGACTCCAACACACATATACCAGCCCACTTGAATTTACCCCACAGCTAACTGATGCCCTGTTAATTTTTGCCAATCTTTTTTTCTTCCTGTGTGTTATTTTAGATAATTACTATTGTCATATCTTTAAATTCACTAATCTTTTCTGCAATATTTAATCTCTTAATCCCATCCATTATATTTTCCTTTCAGACATTGTAACTTCATTTCTAGAAGTTCAATTTGCATATACATATATCATGTTCAGTACTTACTCTCATTCTCTCCTTTAGCTTCTTGAACATAGAGAATACGTTGTAATAATGGTTTTAATATCATTTTCTACTAATTTTATCATCTGAGGAATCTCTGAGGCAGTTTCCATTGATTGGCTTTTCTCCTTGTTGTGAGCGGTATTTTTCTATT